CCGCAATAGCCGGCTCGCGCAATCAGCTGATCGCCGCTATTTATTTTTTATTCAAGCTGTTATTCTGCTTCCTGAACGCCAGAAAAGTGAGGTAAGTTAGTATTATTTACTCTAATTTTAGGTTCTATAAAATATTTCGCTTTATGTCGCTATTTAGACTGTTTTAGTGGTGGTTTCGTCTATTTTTTGATTTTGTTTAGGTGTTCTCTATTTATTCTTTGAATGTTGGACCAGCTTTCCATGACAATGTCGTGATGTGTCCTTATTAGTGTCGAGGACACTCTCTGACACTGTTTTGGAGGATGCGGATCAAAAAATAGACGAAACCACCACTAAAACAGTCTAAATAGCGACATAAAGCGAAATATTTTATAGAACCTAAAATTAGAGTAAATAATACTAACTTACCTCACTTTTCTGGCGTTCAGGAAGCAGAATAACAGCTTGAATAAAAAATAAATAGCGGCGATCAGCTGATTGCGCGAGCCGGCTATTGCGGGGCAGAGCGCAGAGAGGAAGAGTACGCTGAGAGGCCCGGCCGCTGTCGCGTCCCAGCAAAAGTACGCAATTACGGATGGCCAATCGGAGGGATCACGACTGTACGAGCACACCTTCGGTGGTAGCCCTTTTCAGAAGATCAGGCTGGTCAATGTTTACCTCGGAAACGAGTGATGGAAGTAATGGCGCTTGCAGATATGCGGCAGACACCTCTGGAATATAAAAGCATGAGCGAGATCCTCTTGAAAACCTTAGCAGAGTCGAGGATTGACAACTTCGAATACGTACCAAAAGTGTTGGATTTAAAAATGTACTGAGCGTTGACTTCTGCAGCATCCGAGAGAAACTCGGCTCGGTCGACGGGTTTGGAGAGGCGCTTCAGAATGAACTCTATTTTCCATTGTCCCAGCTTCTCTGCCATCTGACTGTACGAATCCGTTTCTTCGACGGAAAACTGAAAGTAAAATTCTGCACTTGAAGCCAATACTCTTCGTTTTATCCATATATCGGACCACATTGGAGAATGCTGCTACTGCTCAGGATTCCTGCAGCATATTTAGCCAAGAGGTTAAACATTTTCAGAGCGCTGCCACTTACATTGTCATAGTAGTTGTCCAATTTCTTGCTGTCAAGGATGAAGTCTGGATAAGCGACTTGAATTAGCATCTCTTCCACTTTTTTGCTAGCAGCCTGCAACAGAACTCTTCTTCTCCTCATTCTCCAGGTTTTGTCCCACCTTGTAGCTGGGTCCCGCTCTGATTTTGCTACGCCATTGCTCGCGGTTGGCTACCTGATGGTGAGCACCAACAATCTTCACGGCCATGAGGATAGGATAAGCTAACGTTGCCTAGGGTGCTCTTCAGGTCGTTTTTTGCGCACCTCAAGCTAGAGAGCACTCTTACAGACGGCGACCGCCTCCGAAGTACATAGTACGCTGCCATACCAGCAAACAAGATTACCACATTTTATCATCAACAGAATGTCGCCAAAGTCCTTCCGAATGTCCACGCTCGACATTCGATGAATCTTGGCATGGTTCTATTGCATACAGTATGTGATGTTATTAAGCTGGTAGCCAAGATTGTTAAATACTCTTTATTAACGGTTGACGTTTCGGCGTCGTCGCCTTCTTCGGAACCTGGAAAGTCGAAAAGCATTCAGGAAACCCTTCGTTCCAAACACTATTTCGACCTCACCGCCAGGACCCCGCGGGGATCGACCGCGTAGGTCAAAACCCACAGAGGTCCGCGAAGGGTGCGAGCTCTGCAGTGACCGCCACACACTCTTCCCTCCTGTTGATCTTAGGGGTCTTGGACGTGATCCAAAAGGCCTCCAACGTTCGACGCGCCGCAATATCCGGTTCACGTGATAATATCGTGACTGCCACCTCAAAACATGTGTCCCCGTGATACCGTACCCTGTGCTCTCCCAGAGGAGAGGCAACTTTGGACTTTCGCATGCCATCCAGGTGTTCCTTGATGCGAATGCACAGAGGCCTTCCTGTTTCCCCAATATATTCCTCCTTGCACTGCTGACACGATATTAGATACACCACCCCCGATGTCATGCAGTCCCCTTCCTTTCCAAATGGACATATGACACAGGAAGTCGTTGTGCAGAGACGGTCATAAATTCGATTTCTAACCAATTGCTTTCTTAGGTTTGTGGGTGGAATATCCACTACCCTCATCGCATCTTGGAGACCGGCCCTTCTTGCACAAACGCGAATAGCCGCACTGAACTCGTCTGATATGAACGGCACACAGAATGAAACTTTTGTTCGTTCCTCTCCGGGAAGATTCAGTGCGACATCTGTCTTCGTCTGACAGGGATTCCTGATGTTTTATATCCATTCTCCTGTGCTATTCGAAGTGCCAATCTTACCGATTCGGCCCTATCTTCGCTTCGAGATGAAACTTCCGAGGCTGTGTGCAACATATTCCTGACGATGGCTTTCTTAGTAGCGGAGGGATGGGCAGATCTGCAGTGTACAAGTATGTTTTTGCTGGTTGGCTTGCGATACCATTTCGTCCTGTAGGCACCCGCAGCTATCTGAACCTGGACATTGAGGAAGGCGAGCCAACTGTCTGTCGGTTTTTCCCGCGTGAGCTTTATATGCTGCGACTGCTCATTAAGCAGAGCAAAACACGTGTCCATCTCAGTTTGAGTGGAGCACACGATAAAGCAATCGTCTATATACCGACAGTACAAAGTTGGTCTGCGCTCTAAAACAGGTCGCTCTATTCTTGACATGAATGCTACTGCGAGTACCGGGGCAAGCCTCTGCCCCATCGCAAGTCCCCTGATCTGCTTGAAATACTCCCCTGACCATCGGAATATGTTGCACATCAGACACTCTTTGAGAAGTGTCATTGTCTGGTTTATTGAAAGGCCGTAGAAATTGATAGATCCCTGATGTTCGTTCGAGATATTCCACCCACAAACCTAAAAAAAGTGATTGGTTAGAAATCGAATTTATGACCGTCTCTGCACAACGACTTCCTGTGTCATATGTCCATTTGGAAAGGAAGGGGACTGCATGACATCGGGGGTGGTGTATTTAATATCGTGTCAGCAGTGCAAGGAGGAATATATTGGGGAAACAGGAAGGCCTCTGTGCATTCGCATCAAAGGAACACCTGGATGGCATGCGAAAGTCCAAAGTTGCCTCTCCTCTGGGAGAGCACAGGGTACGGTATCACGGGGACACATGTTTTGAGGTGGCAGTCACGATATTATCACGTGAACCGGATATTGCGGCGCGTCGAACGTTGGAGGCCTTTTGGATCACGTCCAAGACCCCTAAGATCAACAGGAGGGAAGAGTGTGTGGCGGTCACTGCAGAGCTCGCACCCTTCGCGGACCTCTGTGGGTTTTGACCTACGCGGTCAATCCCCCGCGGGGTCCTGGCGGTGAGGTCGGGGGCTTATACAGTAATCGATAGAGGGGTTAATTGCGGGTCAGCGGCGCAGGTACTCAATGGTGGCCTTCAGAGTTGTTTGATCTACGTGATCGACCTTTAGAGGCCCCTTGAGCAAGTGGTCCCTAGGGTTACCCTATTTAAACCGCATTATTACCAGCTTGGGGTGACAGGTGGACCTCCGTGGTTCGACTGCCTAAAGGTCAGTTTATTAGGGCTCCTATGACGTCGTCTTAGTAGTTTACATCCCTTTTGGAGTTTTCCTGTAGGTTGAAATAGTGTTTGGACGAAGGGTTTCCTGAATGCTTTTCGACTTTCCAGGTTCCGAAGAAGGCGACGACGCCGAAACGTCAACCGCTAATGAAGAGTATTCAACAACCTTCCGTATCGCTGCGAGTTCAGCACATACGCGTCAAACCGTTATCCAACGTAGAATTCTCGTCTCTTCCACGCTAAAAAAGGCTTAAACTTCTTTTGTTCGGTAGCAATCCATTAAAGGCACATTCCGCGATAAAATAAGGCTATGACCTCTCAAATGTGTCGGACGATCCGGAAGGCGATTTTTGAGGCTGCGCTACTTTCAAAATGTGAAAAACGGCAAGAACTCCGCTAGAAGCTGACTAATTAGGCCCATGGACACCCCTTAGGCCCATGCCGACCCTCACCGGCTGCTAGCTACTAGCTAGTAGCCACTATGTTATCTTTCTCTATAACATTTCGGACTGCTTTTTCTGCTGCTTTTCTCCGCTAATCAGATACTTAGCACTTTTTTGTGCCTATTTGAGTTCCGTTTCCCGCAATTTGCGGTCGCGAACTGTGCCTTTAACAACCCCGCATAATGGTCTGAACACAGTTCTACAAATTTTTTAATACGAGCCGGCTTCGCCGGCTGGCGCGCCTCCTTCTGAGATACAGCACGGCTTCGTCGAGCAGGCGCGGCTCCGCCGCGCTTACCTTCTTCCACACATTTCATTAGCCGCCTAGTATCAGGCTTTTCTTTTACCTGAACAGGTGGTCAACATTCTTTGACCAATAGCATCATACCTGCTACTTTCAACACTATTACGGTGTATGGAGTGGTGGTAAGGAGCGTTGATCAAGTGGACAGATGAGAGAAAAGCCGGGTATTAGTCGAGCATTTGATCATACGAATGCAGGTAAGCGCGACGCCCCGCAAAGCCGGGCCGTATCACATAGAGGTCTGGAGTGCCTGGAGTGCTCTGGAACCGCTTGAGGAGTTTTTAAGGCTGGCCCCGCTCACCTTGACGCACGCCCCGCCCACAACGTATGCCTCGCGCTTCTCAACTAATAACCCCTCGCTGATCTTAAACTACTTTTTCCCGGTGTCTGGAGTGCTCTGGAAGCGTTTTACGAATATTTGGCTCCACCCCCTCGGGGCACGCTCCGCCCACAATGTATGCCTCGCGCTTCTCAACTGATAACCCCTCGCTGACTTCAAACTACTTTTTCCCGGTGTCTGGAGTGCTCTGGAACACTGTTCGCTCATCTCAGGACTGCTCTGGAACCGAGTTATGACTTTTTTCAGTGACATCGCTAACTTTTGACGCACGCCCCGCCCACTGTGGGCGGGGCTTACCATGGGTCATGGGTGCTATTTAGGTTTTGTCCCATGCTCTACCCATCCCCACCATGACCCGACCTCGGACAGACAGACAGACAGACACACACACACACACACACACACACACACACACACACACACACACACACACACACACACACACACACACACACACACACACACACACACACACACACACACACACACACACACGACACGCACATAGCCGATTATATTAGTAGGATCTTTCATTTAGTATCGTCTCGTATCTAGAGAGCCCAGCCATGAAGGGCGTCTTTCGCCGCATGTCGCACTCACGGCGCGAGATCCACTTTTGAAGATCAAGAGCTGCCATTAAAGCAGCAATTTTAGATCATTTGGACCTTTTCTACAGAAGTTATGGCAAAACGACGGTTTGCGACGGAAAAATCTGTCGCAAACCGTCGATTGACCACAAATTAGGAGCGGTATTGTATGCCAGACTCCATAAATACATTGGAACCGAAACACTCTTAATTACCATCTCTGGGCTTGCGTCGACCGTGTTTGGGAGTTGTGAATAGAACAGCATCCAGACAAAGGAGATCCACTTCATGGATGCAGTTAGCAGCAACAACAGGTCATTGAAACTAGTGAAAAACGCGTTCCCACAAAAAATAACCTTTTTCGCAGCACGATTCATCCAGTTTTGTTCGACAAGCATTCTGTGGAACGCTTGTTGTAAATCGTTCACCATATCTAACGTTGAATTCTTCATGCCTATAATAACATAACAGCTAGGCATGACATCGATTCTAGCCGAAATCTTGTAGTCCTTCAAAGAATTACCTGGTCGAACTCTTTGCTGACGTAGATAGCACCAACAGCATGCTTCAATATCCTGTGGCTGACACACATCTTTCTCCACCGGAGAGCTTCTTGTTTTTTTCCGAACACAGAACTATCGAGCTCCTTGATTAATAGAAATAGATCACTTCTCCACAAAATATTTTGAGCAACAAAAAAACCTAGAAACTACTTCTCTTCTGCTATGATGTCAATGTTCAGGGAAAAAGAAAACTACAATTAGCCATAAGACTGAATTCGCGCATAATGCTAACTTTTTTCTTACATTGAAACCTGTTGGGAAATGAAATTCTTTTCAAATGTCTCGCATCTACAGCTATATATTCTTCTTCTCTGTGAGGCAGTATAGTTGATTTTCCTATTCTTTTTTGTAGAGTTTTTGTTTATTTTTGGGAAGGACAAATGACACTGCCGACCACAATAAGGGTTTTTGACACCCCCCCCTTTGCAATCGAAGCCAGTTGGCACGATAAGTTCCTCAGCTGAGTAGGATTAATATGCCTCGCAGGACGTAGTTCCGCGCCTTTGAGCAAGCTCTGCACTGCGCATCTTCCATGAAAGGCAGACTTACAAGGCCTTCCAAGCTACAACACCGCCCGCACGCCAATCCTACCCTAACAAGTATACGACTGTAGCTGACGCTTCATTTGCGAAGTAAAAAGAAGGAGGGAATGAACATGTAACACGGAGTACTGATCCTACATATGAGTCCATACGTAAGACATGCTACGTGCGCATTGCTCAAGACTCCAAGGAGAGCCACCGAACTGCTTTCTGACCTCATTATCGTTTATCTCAGGAATCATCAACACTTCCTTCGTTAGCCATTTCCTACGTGTAGCACTCTGTCAGCACTTTAACCGAATACAATTTAATCATCATATCCTTTTTAGCTACTTCTCAACTCTCACGAAGCTATTTGTGTATAATTCTTTTTGCCTGCGAGTTTAGGTGAACTGCTATTGGACGGCCTAAGTTTCGACAGATCGCCGTCCCGGAGGCCTGAACATCGCCAGATTTTAATTATCGTATCCTAACAATCCGTCAACGCAGCTCGTCCTCCTAGCGTTTCTGACGAAGCTTCAAGGAACAACCGAAAATCTCCCGTATGTATAACTAACTCACCAAGTCCACCGCGGCAAGAGCGGAAGAAGCCGCCCAGTCAATGGTTATTACTGTAAATACAACAGAAAAGTGCAATTATATGTCTATATGGTTTAATAGAGTATGCGTCAAAGTTAGGCGTGATTACCAACTGATCCAAACCATGTAACAAACATACATTGGACTAGACTTTGAAGGCGCGTCTAGCAACGCTCATACAAGAACAAATCTGCTGGTAAAGCGTGGTAACCTACAACACCTGTCTGGCAACGCATCTTATCGAGGACATGCGAGACGACTAGATTGAATTTGCAAAATTTAGCACCGGAACTGAGGTTTCTCAGAAAGCGATGGATGGCATTCTGGATTTCTGCTAGGAATCCTAGAATGAACAACCGAAATGAGTGCTTATCCATAACAAATGATCTCATGCCATTTTCACCGCACTGCCAGCATATTGTAGCAGTGAGACGTCGACTGAATATGTTCTATAGTACGGACACACACGTGATCTCACAAAATTATAACCATTGAACTGCGGCTCTCCGCTCTACGCTGTGGACTTGGTGAGTAGTTATAATCAATACGGGACGATTTTCGTTCCTTAAGCTTCGTCAGAAACCGCAGGGAGAACGAGGCTTGCGGTTTAGGAAAAAATTAAAGAATCTTGGCGCGATGTCAGTCTCCGAGGACGCCGACTGGTCGATGAACGTTAGGCCGTCAATAAACCAGTCTTCCACTAACAACCTCGCCAGGCAAAAAAAGAATATAACAGCAATAAAACGATCCGAGGATTCTATAAGAGAGAAGCTGACGACTCTCAAAGAATCAGTATAACATGTGATTTAGTGCGTTAAGAAGCAATGCAATGACAGGGTACAGCATCGTGACGAATAACCCATAGGTAGGATCGTACCGATCCGCTGGAAGGGGTCTAATCTCAAGGGTCATCCACTCAGCTGGCAACGCTATGACGTTCAGTGGATAAAGAGATAGAGATATGAGCGTGAAAAAAATCATGAAAATTTTTATGATGTATTCCTGACAGATAAGCTCTCCGCTTCATCACCTTTCTTTTCATGCGACTGCCGAAAGACGTCGTGCAGTAGGGCATTGGAGAGGGCCGCCAACAGCAGTGTTCATGGCAACAAATCACGCGGGTGCTGCGCATTATATTTGAGATCTTATAACAACTTTTCCGCGCCTCGGCATACTTGTCAGTGGGATACCCGCTTAATTGCTTACGCTGAGTGGTGATCTCTCTGCCCACGCCAATCTAAATACAGAATAACGAATAGGATGAATAAAAAAACTTCACTCACCTTGATTATAAAACCACAAGTTGGCTGACCACACTACTTGCGCGCCGCGCCGCGTGATATAAAAAATGCGAAATGATTACCATAGTTGAATCATATTATTGCTGTTTTTTTTCTTTCTCGTATAATATCGTGATTGGTTTGTTTTCTTTTCTTGATTGTGCCGCAGACCTCACTTGAACAACCCTTCCCCCTCCCGTTGGACGTGCAGTAAAACAATAGGTACTGTCCATTCCATGATCGACTCTCCATTAATCTCGGCATGATGACAGCAATATTCACAGAATTTATTTAGCAATCCGAGATTGTTAGAAGTCCTTTACCAGACTGACGTTTCGGCAGTATTGCCTTCTTCGGAGCCTGCAAATCAAAACCTATTTTCGAAACAATTCGCCCTAGTCCCATTTCAGATAGCATAGTGAAGCTCAAGGTAAAGCAGTCTATGAAAACATCGTGAAGAGGGCTAACCCTTTTGAGGCGATGTACTGTCTACTTAGCCTGAAATACGGTGAACCTAGAAGTATAGTGGTAAAAAATTAGGAGAAAATAAGCTCTTACCTCTTATTTACGCCTATCAGTTGATATAATCCCTTGTCACCCGTGATCCATTACCACAAAATCTTTATGATTTGGTAGTGTGAAAGAGGCCTCTTATCTGCCCCTATCAGTTGTTATCCCTCTCTGTGATCCCCGTCACATCCACCATATCACCTATATTGGAACCAACTTCCTACTGTTGCCGTGACGGACGCTTGAGTTTCAAATCCCCTTATCAGATCATAATAATTCTTAATGCGTCCTGCCACCCATAAATGATATTCATGACCCATACACTACATCATGTCTTAGAACTAAACGTCCCACCGATGCTGAAACCCACGTTATGAACTTGGTGACCTTCACCTAACACCCATTATCATCTCTTGTCAGCTAATATCACTTCCTGCCACCCACCAATGAAGTTCATATCCAGCTTCCCTGTGTCACTCTTGTTGACCCCCCCTTTTTAAGACCCCATGTCAGCTGTTATCACTTCCTGCCACCCATCATCCATGTTCCCGTCTTCCCCTCCCCCCACATATCAATATCACTTACCAATTCGAACTCTCACTGCTAAATCAGAGGAATTCATGATTTTCCTCAAACACACACACCAACAAACAAACTTAGATAATTATATACAATAGGTACTTTTCCGTTTACAAAATTCCATTCTACTATATAAAATCCGCTAAGTTTGTCTGTTGGTGTGTGTGTGTGTGTGCTAGTTTGTTGCCTGTATGTGTGTGACCGGAAATTCCATAACTTCCTTTAAAAGAGCGATAAAGCGCTCAAGTGATGTAGGGGTCGGGCACGAACACTAATGGTAGGTGGCAGGAAGTGATAAGCGTTGATAAGATACCATAAGGAGCCTTAGAAGGCAAGGGTCACTAAATGCATAGCGCGTGCCACAGCAAGTGGGGGCTTGGTTCAAGAATAATGTAGGGACAGGATGGAATCGCATATTGTCGGTGGCAAGAGTGATACATTTTGAAAGTATACCATTACTTATGAGCCTGCCTAAATGTAAGGATCACCAATCACTAAGCGCGCACAGATGCGTAAACTTGATCCGAAGAATAAATAGAAGGCAGAGGGACATTTTGTGGTGCAGATCAGGATAACAGCCCGATAAAGATACCCATAAGGAGCCTTAGAAAGGAAGTTCATGCAATCATCATAACGCGCGCCACTCAGCGTTAGAACTTTGTTTCTATAGTAATAAGACGCAGATGGGCAACATTTTGGGTGTGTAGCAGGACCGATGATAACATCAGTATAAGCGATAGGGCCCCACTTCAAGAAGTGCCTCAAAACTCAACGTGCAAGAGCTGCAACAACGGGAGCATGCATTTACTCTGCTGCGACTTGCACTTACCACGTGACCTCAAGTGAGTAATAGCCAAACTTGTGACCGCGAGATGTTCTTCCCCTCACCTTTAGCGATGAGTCCGCAATGTTGCCGAACGCTAAAACTCTCGAGTACCACCCCAGATACGATAAAACCATAAAGATATTTACAGTGAGGTAATGTATAGATCGCCATAATAGATATGTGAAAGCATGAGTTCTTAAGTCTAGATACTAAACATACCTCTCAAACAGATTCGTTGCGTGTTGTTTTCTCCCACATCGGCAAAAATCAGCTGATGCTACAATAAATCACTGACATTAAAGTTACACCTTTCCACCATCTCTGCATAGAAGCGTCGTAATGCACGGCGCACACTCGGACCAAATCGATCGATGATAACCAAGCTCTTCTTTCACTCATTTGAGTGGGAATATGTGTTTTGAAGGCATATTGGAGTTCTTGAATGAGTATCCTCGTGATGGCACGGAAGGAGTCGATTTTTCGGGTGGGTCAAAGGGTAGCGCGTCGGTGACCCATCTAAAATATCTCCTGAACTAGCGGGTCTTCAGGAAAACTGTAAAGCTTATTGGAAAGAGAAAAGATAGGGCGGTTTCAAGACGATTTCAATCCTGATGAAATTGCGTTCGAAATAAGTAATCCTCGTGTGAAGCATAAAAACCAATGCGAGTAATGCGAGTTACCCCTAGCCTATCCGAAACCCATCCGGAATATTT